CTAGGAACAAGAAGCTAATAGGGGCTCTTGGCCTTACTACTAGGAGCAAGGACGCTACTAGTTGCTCAATCCATGAGGAACCAGCCACAGCAGTTGCGAAAATCCCCTTGATGTCGGGCGTGTCCGGCCCTAGCAGCCCAGGGGACGGTAGCTTGATCGTGCTCATCAATGGCGTTCCAGTGTGCAAAGGGCCAAAGCAAGTTCCAGCCCTTCGGCTTTTTGGAGACAAATCCCTGCTGTCCATGAGCCATCATAAACAAAAAAACACAGGTCTTGGAGGTTTTTTCCTGCTACCTTTGGACGGCGCCCTATTTTTTTTTTATGTTTTAGCTCCCGTGGCAACTTTTTTCTTGCACGCGCGCTGTTTTCCCATTTTCTCTGAAGCACACACGGCCTCAAATCGACCCTTGAGAATACTGCTACTGGTACATGTGGGTGAAAGCAGCATGATGCTGCTGCCCAACTCCTATGGTGGCACATTTGTTTAGCGCTCCCAAACATCCCCGGTGCCCCGCATAATGCACACCCGAGGTCTTGGATGTGCCGCTGTATCCCTTCGTGGACCTCTTAGGTGCGGGCCCGGTGCGGGCTCTGTTCGGGAAAGTGACGTCGAGAAGTCGTCGGTCATGTTGAAGGGCGGACCGGGCCTCCGATTCGCCCATCTTCCGGGCCTCCCACGTCAAGGGATGTCAAACAGATTTTTGGTATAGACAGCTAAAGGCCTCAAGGCCCAACGAATTCCTTTTTCTATCCAAACGAGTAAGGCAAGGCAAGGCACGGCTGCAGCTGGATTCAGCTAGCTGGACGCCGAATGAGACTGAATCTTTCTCTATATCTCTCTCTCTCTATATATATACACACAAACACACGGTGGAAGCAAAACATAGTTTTCTTTACTTCGAAAGATCCCCACCCTGAGAGGTGATTTGGAAGCAGGCAGGTGATCATTATAGTTGGAACGAACTTGCCAACCTTTCTTCAACCACACGGGGGATGCCGCCTTCGGTGTGTGTGAATACGTCGATAGCTTGGCATGGCCGTGAGAGCTTGACCATGGATGAAACACTTCTTCATGGGCTCCGGCTTGACATGAGCTTCTGCAGGCATCTCGCCATCTGGTTCATAGAGATCGTCAGGAGGTCTCTTCGGTAACAGCTCATCTTCGGGACGTTGGTGACAAGAGGCCTTCGATGCTCCCGATGCCCTTCAATGTTCTCCTCGCCCCCGTCCATGCGGCATAGAACCACTGGTTTTCCATTAGTTTCCTGTCCAAACTTTTTAGGGAGATGCTCAACACTGCTGCTGCGGCTGAATTCAGCCATTGACTGATGACCAACCTTAATGAGCTATATGTTTCTTCTCAGGAAACACCTCTTGAAACTTTTCAAGTGCATTTTGCATTGTCACGTTGACGCCCCGTGCAAAGCAACACGTCCGTGAAGCTTCTGGTAGCGAATCCAAGAAGCCTAAGATATGCTCCTAAGCATGTCATTCTATCTGGCATACCTTCTGGCACTCTAACTGATTCTAGCTGCCATATCTTCTGACATCCTGTCTTCTGACATCCTTTCCGGCATTCTGCCTGCCATGAACTCCGGCATTCTATTTGGCAGACCTTTTGATATTCAAGCCGGCATATTTTCTGACATCCTGGCTGGCACCTATCTGGAATATCTTCTGGCACTCTATCTGGCATATCTTCTGCTTTCCAGCGTTCTATCCTACCTGGCATATGTTCTGACATCCTTTCTGGCATGCTGTCTGACATATCTTCCGGTTTCCTGTCTGGCATTTCCATCTGGCATATTTTCTGACATCTTATTTGGAATGTCTTCTCACATCTTTTCTGACATTCGTCTGGCATCCTTTCTGCTTTTGAATGTGCCGTATCTTCTGGCACTTTCGTCTGGCATGTCTTCTGACATCCTTTCTGGGACTCTCTCCAGCATATCTTCCGGCACTGCCCTGTCTGACCTGGCGTTCTCGATGGTGTAGGTGAGGGACCTGCTGCTCTCGATGGTGTGCCGACACTTGCTGTGACGTGACGACATGGCAGGAGTAGGACAGAGGACGGAGTGCAGAGGAGGGAGGCTGGAGTAACAGACTTTTGTTAAGGTCTAAAGACCTTAGAGGCATGAAAATGATTGGATGACATTGCTTGATCAGGTCTTATTGCTGGGATTCATGTCTCTTGTGACATGGTCATGGTCATGAACTTGCCGCGGTTGCATGTCTTTGACTCCTCAGAACGGGCTAGTGTAAATCAGACAGTCCCATTCCTGAGCTTAGCCATTTTAGTTGAAGGGAAGGCGACATAAGGCAACCAGCCCCCGTCCCCGTGGGCGCATGACATTTGGGCATGCCAATAACGCTGGATGGAAGTTGGACACCGCACCCTCTTGGACCTTGAGGCAATGCCAAAGCGGTCCAACTCCAGAAACCCACTGCGGAGTTGGTGAAGACGGCCGTGGTGAACTGTGCCAAGGCACCAACGGCAGACGACATAAATTTTTGGCAGTCAGCAGCAGCATGGCACACAATGTCACAAGATTAACAGTTGAAAGTGGTGTGTACTTGCAAGATATTCGCAACTGGCAATTCGGGGGTGGTGCGCATGTTTTTCAACGAGCGAGTTTGACTGCGCCCACCACAAAAAGAGCCTTTTCAAAACGATGGATGTTTTCTCGACTTTTACAGCATTTGCAATGTTCTGAAGTTTCGCACCCCGAAAACACCGTAAACACATTCGCTTTTGGGGGTCCAAACACACTGCTAGTGCACAAAGATCCCAAACATCACACCCAGAAAAACAGTATCATCATGGCCCAAATCCCGTACCGGCCCAAATCCCGAAACAACGCGGGCAGCCATGCCCAACGTTTGAAACCCCGTGCCGCGCGTGCGTGCGAGCGCGTGCTCCGATTGGTGGGTTCAGCCGATGTTCCTGCGCTGCCCCTCCCGCGGCAGAGTCAGACGTAGGGGGTTTGCAGCAAAAGCAGAGTAGTCGAGTGTGGAAGGCCACTGATTGTGCCGGCCTTAGCTTGTTTTCTTTTTGGGGTACTTGAACTAGCTGCAAATTTGCCGACCTGATGGCTTCCATTTTCGTTGGCTGGAGGCAGCGAAACGAAGCCTTCTGAGCAACAGTGGCAAAGACCCTGCCTTCTTTGATGCCTGGTAAGAGGATCAACCCACCGAAGCTGAGCCTCAGAGACTCGAAGATGAAGAAGCTGAGTCTTGCTTTGTTTTCATGACGAAGAGGAGGAGAGTAGAGCCATTTGACTCTCCTGATGATTAGATTTGGAGCTAATCCGTAGATGTCCAACACTACATCCTTTCGAGAATTCTTTGCGTTAACCAAGTATTTGACACCGAGCCTCTCACCCTTCTTTAAGCTGCTTAGCCTTGAGTCTTTGAGGCCAAGCCGTGGGATCCGAGTTGTACATAGACACGCAGCCAGGACATCATCCGGTCCAAGACCAAAATCCTTGCGGTTCCTTTGTGAGGATGCAGCCTCAATGTTGAATTCCTCCACTCGAAACAGTACTTGGGTTCGACACGTGAGAGCTCTGAGGGGTCCAAGAGCGCTCTAGGCCTTTTGAGCTTATCAGCTTCATTCCGCAGCAATTTCTTGTGGAGATCAATACTTATGCGCAGGAGCACTTCAGTCAGTGTACAGCAAGAGTCCAGAGGAAGATTGCAAGGTTGTAGCTAGCTACTAGGTCACCTTAAAGTTCCTTCGGCAACATGGCAGCTGTGCGTAAGGCGCGTGCCTTGATTATTGGTCTGGCAAAGGTTGAAGCCTTCATGAAGCAGGAGTTGGAGGCTGTGATGCCAGCGGAGCGTCAAGAATTCTTACGGAGCCTGACCACCGAGAAGCTGCAAGAAGCTTTAGCTAGTGAGAGGTCAGGTCTGGAGAAGGAAGGCATTGCGCTGGAGAACCTTCTCATCGATGGAGGCAATGACCCCTCAGCTCTTCAAAAGAATGGAGATGTGGTACGTGAGCATTTGAAGAAGGAGAACATTTCTACATGACGTGTGGGTTTCTAATCCGAAAAGCCATATCCGGCGTGTTGCTTCTGGTCTCGCAAGCTTTGTAATACAAACTCACGATTACATAGAAGCACCGTCAGATCGTCCAGGGCCAGGGATCACGCTGAGGGATTTCACTTCCAGTAGGGAACCCGAGTAGCCTGAGCCTTTGGGAGTTTCAGGCTGGAGCCACCATTGAAAATCACATAAAATCACACAAAGTCATCAAGTTGGGAGACTGTTGAGAAAATAACACTTGCAGGAGCTATGGCTACCTAAGAAAACCTTAGAGCGATAAGAGGGAGGAGCCGATTCTCAACACTCTTGCCCGAGAACCGCCCAACAATGGTCGCACCGCGCGCTCGCCGCAAGGAGAGGTATGATGTTGTGGTTATTGGGGCTGGCGTCCGTTTACCGCCGTCCAATTTTCCGCTCTTGGAGTACTTGACGAACATCGTGCACATTGGCTTGTAGAAGTGCTGGGGGGCCGGGTTGATTTAAGGAGTTCTGCCTAGATTTTTTCCGGGAAAAAATTGCATCACTTGATTTGTACATATCTCGGGACATCCATAGTTTGACATCAGCATCTATGTTAGAAAAGCCAACTTGGAGGTGAGGAGTCGGTTCTCGAAACTGAATGGTGATAACACTTGGCAGATGCTGAACATAGGGCTTGGGGATGCTGAAGATGTCGCATTGCATCGTGAGCATCGTAACGTACAGGTCGAGTCGAGGGGTGGTAAGATAAAACACCGTGCAAGTTGGGGGTAGTGTTTCTTCAGTGCAGAGGTGGGAAGTGTCGTTTTGGTGGAAGCAAGCTTGGCTGAGTGACTTGACAGAGCGATATAGTTGCTGCAAGACTGGTGTTTTCACGATGGTGAGAAATGTTTATGGGTATGGCTTGGGAAAGTGGGGAGGTCGTGTGCATTGCAAGATGGCGGAGTGGAGGAGGGGAGGTGAGGGGGGCGCCAACCTGTTGCTGTGAAGCTGGGTTCAGTGACAGGAACACGTGCCATTTCGTGAGAGAGCATTTATTGAAATGGTGGTCAAGCAGACTACTAGCAGACTAGCAAGCTATGACCAGGTTTGACTCCCTTCCTTCCTTCCTTCCTTCCTTCCCTCCCTCCCTCCTTCCCTCCCTCCCTTTCTCCTTCTCCTTCTCCTTATCCTTCCCCTTCCCTTCCTTTCCTTTCCTTTCCTTTCCTTTTTTCATGTCCTTTTTCCTTTCGTTTCCTTTCTTTTTCTGTCCTGTCCTTCCTTCCTTCTCAAGTCTAGAGTTCTTGTAAACCGCAGTGCACCCAGGCACTCACATGCTCCGGGCGCCAAAATTGCCTACAACACCTATCCCTTGGACACGGCAGACGCAATCCGGAGAGCTTTGGCCACGAATTACCTGGAGTGACGCCCTGGCTGTGATACGAATCGTAGGACTCGCACAGAACCCCAAAGTGCAGCGCCGAGACAGATCTCAAAGTAGCTTGGGCTTGCCCTAGTGAACGTGTAGTGATGAGTCATTGATTCAATTGTTGGCGCGGGTTCCTGGCGCTCCTTCGCCGCATCGAATGGACGGTGAGTTTTGAAGACCATCACAAAGAGAGGATATTTTGGCAAACGATAACAAACGAAGGCTTTTCTTCATATATGTCCATAGGGCAAGGGCGTCTCGCACAGAGTGTTGCGACAAAACCGATGGCAAAAGGGAGTGTGAAAAGGAGCGAAAGGAGCGAAAGGTGGTAAAGCAGCTCTCAAAAGGACGAAGAGTCCTTTAATATGACCGTGAAATTGGTTTTGCCACGTTGGTTGAAGATCAAATTTTGTCATCAATGGAGTGAAGAACAAAGGTGATAGATGGTGAGAGATGGGTGAGATGGAACACAAAGCATATCAGTTTGCTTTGGTTTGGGCTCAATGCAGGAAGAGCAAAGTGGAGTCCAAGCGCCAGTGTTTGGAAACCTCATGGGTCTGTTGGTACTGAATGCTCTTCACAACGGCGTTTCTTTTTCATTGAGCACTGATCCAAGTTACTTCAGGCATGCTGTCATGCTTTCCCTCAATGTCAGGCAAAGAATGATCAGAGAAAAACCATCAAATCGGTTCAATCAAAACATGGAGACCCTATGAAACTAATGAACACAGCGAATTGTAGCCGGTGCCTCTCTCCGCTTCTCTCTTGATCGAAAGTTGGGCTGGGTCCATTTACTTTCCCACCTTTCCACTTTCTGATCCATCCGTCCATGACGCTTGGTGATGGACCCTTGGGCAGACCACAGGCCGGCAACAGACAAGCAGTAGAGGTTTTGATGTTTCTCGTTTGCATTCTTCCTTGAGACTATGAAACTGTAACTTCTCTTTTGGCATTGGTTTCTTGCGCAGATTGCACATCAGTCATGACAACAGTACTTGTTGCGTAGACATTGTGGCCAACTTGGGACTACCCAAAACAATAACCGTCTTTGGATGTATATATCTTACATAGATGCTTCTTCACCGGTAGCGACCTTAGGGACTCATGGTTTTGGGGGCAGATCCAGATCTGCTGTTTGCAGACGCTGGTTGACCCAAAGAGCTTTGGAGCTCCAGCTGAGGCGGATCGGGAACCTTCTGGGTGGTTAAAGTGAAGGTCTCAAGAGCGCATGACGTGGATAGAGTGGATGATGGTGTGCCATGTTTTTTAAATTCAGCGCCAGAAAGTTCTGACAGAACAAACTTGGAACTGAAGTGTGAATGCTCCAAGCCCTTTCCTTTGGTACAGGCTTGAGTCATGCAGCCAGCTCATGGGCAAGCTTCACTAGACATTGAATGGGCTGTTTGCCTACCTTTTTCCAGAGACACTTGTTGGAAAGAACCAACTCCAACTTGTCTGCAATTTCACACTGTTTGAATCCACCTCCTTACAAGCTACAAGAGTGTTTCTGCACAGCATCTCATGTTGGTGCGTTTGGTGCCCACCTGCCATGCCGACGCACACGATGTGCGCCTACAGCCTCGCACGCGCTCCAGAGCAGCCCGTGCTGCTCCGCAGTGGGCAGAGCTCGCCTGGCCACTTGTCACCAGCGCCAGCCTAGCTGCTAAGAGAAGCTGCGCCAGCCTAACGCACGCGCGACGGTGCGGAAGACTCCACCGTGGCGGGTCTTCCGGAACTGCGCGGAACTGCACGTCGGGTCAAGTCTTGGAGGCCGGGTGAACTTGGCAAGAAAGTTTTGAATCAGTAAATGAAGAAAACGAAGTCATTCAACTTGTCATCCATGGAGAACATGCAGTAGCATGGAGTCATGTGAGGTTCCTGCGAGTATTCCTGGCCATCTTGGTTTTCAAGCGGAAGCTGTAGACAGACTGACCGAAATCTGTCAAAATGGCAAGTCCTGCAGATCTTCTGGAGGCCTTGATCCAGAATTTTGGCACTGAACGACATGCTTGGCAGATATTCATCACTTCCATCTCCTCCCCGAAACCACCCGGGTCCTCCTGGGGGGTTCCGTTCTCCGGTCCCCGGGTTCTCCGGTTCTTCTTCGGTCCCGACCCGCGGTGGCGAAGCGAACCGCCACGGCAGGTGGCTCAGCACGCGGCCCGCGCCGCGGGGCATTTGATCCGGGAGAAGGTGGGCGCCGAGGTGATCCGCCGCAAGGCCTTCGCCGCGGATCTGCTCACCGCCGTCGACCAGCGATTCGGCGAAAACAAGGGCGGTTTGGGGGGAAGAACTCGGTGTTGGAAGACATCATAAGATCCACAAATTCACTCTTTGTAGGTTTTTGTACACCTTTGATCATTCTTAGTGATGACTTGTGACTTGACATTCTATAGGCTACAGAAGTCGACTTTGAAGGAGAAGTTGTGTAAGACCATTGCCATGTGGCAAATGGCAAAGGACAGCAGATGAATGTGTCTTGTTGTTTGGGGCTTCAAACATGTATTGCTGAGAAACCTAATGACGTTTCCAAAGACGACAATTTTTCAGGCAGATGCCGTGCATGGCCACTTGTTGCTGTCTATTCTGCCAGCTCAGGCAATGCGAAGAGGCGATTCAAAGGATCGTACTTTGGCTCATGAAAAGAAGAAAACCCAGTGTAGTGATGATTACAGGCACCTTCTCTCGTCTCACTTTAGATGATTCCTTTCGCTGGCTGCTTTTTCTGTCTTCGCACCCAGGTGCAGGAGCATTTTCCGAGCCACACATTCCTGGGAGAGGAGCGAAACGGGGGGTACGTGGCCTTTCAAGGTGCAGTTTTCACAGGTCGAAGTGAGGCAAATTTGGAAGACAAAGCGAAACGACTACTATGAACTTTTTGTTGTTTGTTTTTTGCTTTTTACTGTATTCTTTACTTCCTCATGGTTGGAACTTGAACATCCATACATGTTCTTTTTTTTTCTTGTGTCCGCTCCGAGAGTCTCTTTGGGAGGTTAAAGGCTTGCAAAGTAAAGGCACATCAGATCCCTCCTGAAAGGACTTGGATTTGTTGTAAACATCCTGAAACAGTTGTTTGGATCTTCAGACTTTGCACCGATGCAGAATCTCGATTGCCGGCTCGCACCTTCCTCGGCCAGCGAGGAAACGGCAGAGGAGGGTGCGATAGAAGCTCTGGAAACCCGCGAAGGTGAGAATGGGATTGAGAAGCACTCGTTGTAGCGGGCAGCAGGCTGTGCCAGGATGTCACATTTGAAGCACGGTCCTAGGACCGTGTAGGAATTGTTTGCTTGGGCGACCTCTCACTGTCCATTGGGTCGGGTGTGGGGCCCTTTGAAGTGAGCCCCCATTAGTTGGCCAAGTTGGCGTGTTTGAAACGGACTGATTTTGATGTGCACCAGCTCAAGTGTTGATATAAGATAGCAGTCTCATACATTGATTGGAGCGACAACGAAACTCTGCAAAACTTACTATAACCAGTTGTTTCTTTTAAAGGCTAGCAACTCTAATTCCTTATACTGCTTGACCATTTCAAGTCGCCCCATTGCACGACGCTTTCAGGCTGGCTCTGGGTGGTCGACCCCATTGATGGCACCACCAACTTTGCTTCCGGACAGCCGATGTCTGCTGTGAGCATTGGTGTGGCCAAAGATGGGCAGCTGCGTGTCGCCGCACCCCGGACGGTGGCCGGAGGCGGACACCACTGGGCTGTACCAGGACACCCTAAGGGGTGTCTAAGGGGCTAGCCCCTTAGATGTTAAGGGGCACCCCTTGTGGGTCCTAGTATAGAACCTTGCTTCCTCTTCTTTTTTCTTTGTTTCTTATAGCGATGGCCCTGCCTCCGACCTAATAGCGATGGCCTCCAACCTAATAGCGATGGCTTGGCTTAGGCTGTCTGGGGACACTGTTTTAGGTGAAACGACTTGGGACTTTTGGTCCACCCCGCGTTGAAGCTTATTGGCATACATCCACAAATAGACATGCAACCCCGGCATGAGGCGACCGTTTCCTTAAGTAGGGTCCCCAACAGAACGCACGGAGGGAGGCTGGCGATTGTCAGGATGGTCATCGGTTTGGTGTTTGGATTGGCGACTCAAATCGAGTGCGACTCAGTTGTGCAAATTCTGCCACTTCGTGGACCTCCTCATGGCTACATTGTGTGAGCAAACTTGACCATGGGGTTGACTAGTCGTCCACTAGCTCCGAGAATCCTCAACGAAATGCTTGAACTCTTCAAAAACCGCAGAGTTGCAACATGAGTAGCCTTGATGAGAACCACCTGGCAAGACCTATATAATCAAGGCCTGGAAAAGTGGTCGTCTTTTCGGCCATCCTTTCGGCCGTTTCCACTTCGGTCTTCCGTCCTCGCGTCCTCAGGTCATTTATGAACCCTTCCGCGATGAGCTCTTCACCGCCTGCGCCGGCCGCGGGGCGCTCCTGAACGGCCGGCGGATCCAGGTCTCGGGGGCCAAGGAACTGAAGGAGGCGCCGCGACAGGGCACTCCGGGAGCTGAGAGGTGGGAACACTGAAAAGACGTCCTTTTCAACAGAAGTGGAGGTTCTGGCTTCTCCAGAAAGTTACGGGAACTCTGAGAAACATGGAAAAAAAGGGACCTGGCGCAGATGTAGTCGGAGAGACTAGCAAATGCCGCATCCAATGTTAGCCATGCCCTCTTTGGCGCGCCAACCTATTTACATGTTAGCATGTCAAACCCCTCCCTGAACATCTGTTCAAAGCCCTCACAGGTCGTGGCCTCGCATCAAAACCCTTGCAGGCCGTGGTGGCCTCGGGCTGTGCACCCAATCCCAAGAGTTCGGCGCCTTGCCTCCGCGCCATGACGGCCTTGGCGCCCCAGACTCGGACAGCGAGCGACCGTGGGAAGAGAGTCGATAGGGAGCAGAACGCATGATTTGGAGGCAAACTGCTTGAAGCAATGGATGATGAGTTTGGATTGTGAAGCTGCATGGTTTTCAGTGAAATGCATGGACCTCGCTGGCCGATTTTCATCCCTGCATGTCACCTCATCCAAGAATCCCACCATGTCATACGCCATTGTATTCATCCCGGACCTCCGCCGCAAAGAGCGACGGCCCACGGCGAAAGGACGCTGCGAATCCTGGGTTCGGCGGCCGTGAACTTTGCATGGCTCGCCTGCGGGCGCCTTGACGCCTGGTTCGAGGCCCGTTTCGCCACGGCAAGGCGTTCAGCTCTTCGGGGGCCGACCCAGATGTCTGAAGACCATGTCGGTGGGCCAGGCGGCCACACCTGGCTTTCCATTTGTTTTGCTTCTTTTCTCGGGTTTTCCGCAAGGTGGATCTCAATAGTTGGGACAGTGCTGCTGGCGCGCTGTTGGTTCAGGAGGCTGGCACTGACCACATGCATCATGTGCAGCACGCCCAACACTGCTAGCAAATTTTGCATGTCACCAAGCCGTGGCGAATGTGAGGACTGGGACGAAAGAGTTTCGTCCACTGAGATCCCGTCACCAAACAGATGGCGTTGTGCTAATTTGATGTCCACAAGTCACAAGAGAAGAACAAGACCATGACACATTTGCACATTTGATCCTGAACTCTTGGTGAGTTCGAGCACGACTTCTTTCCTGCCCCGCTTGATCCAAACGAGTGCGAGTGCGCTACCATCCCATCCCGCCAGGCTGGTGGGATGGTGACGGATTGCAAGGGTTCGCCTTATCGCCTGAGTACTCGGCCGATCTGTGCGAGCAATGGCTTGCTCCATTTCGACTTGCTTCTTGGAGTAGAGGAGTGGACGAGCGGTGAGATCCGGCGAGACTGAGACCCTTTAAGTGAGACCCAGTTCATGACCGGTCTCACGCCCCAAAATGGTGTGAAAAGACCGGTAACAGCAGTGATGGCCTCCAACCTACTAGCGTGGCACTTGTTACTAATAGCTTCTTGCTACTACTAGTAAGGCACCTGTTACTACTAGCGTGGCACTTGTTACTAATAGCTTCTTAGGAGAAGGAACCAGATGCGGTCAGACAGGAGAAGACCTGAACTTCTCATACCAACTGTTGACGAATCCGTCCTCACTGTGGGCCTTCCTGTCAAACTTGATGCGTTGAGGCTGGAAGTGTTGGCCGAGACGGAAGCAACTGACTTGGATCCCTAGCTGAAGGCCGGTTTGTGAGACTGGACTCGGACTCGCCTCAGAGACATGCTGTTGGCCCAAGAAGCTTGTGTATCACAACAATATAATTATCATAAATAGATAGAATCATACAGTCAATCCATTGTTGCTAATTAGTTGGCAGCCTGGTCTTGCTTCTGTGAGCCCGGTCTTACTTCTCCAACACTTGCAGAACTCCGTCGCAGAACTTGCAGAACTCCAACTGGTCTTTCCGAGGCTCTTCTGTTAGTGTGACTGGGTTTGCTTGCTGCATTGGTAGCGGCAGATGTCTTTGCCACTCTGTCTCCCAGTGTTTTTTTCTGTCTCTGTCTCTGTCTCTCCCTCTCTCTCTATCCAACTGCTGTCTCTGCTGGGGTCTATGCGGTCTAAGTGCCTTCATAATGAAACTCTTAGTCTTAACCATGTCACCTCCATTTTTGATGTAGTCAAGCACTTGGGCCAGGCAAGCTGAAGATCGATTGCACTGTGACGGGAAAATTGCTGCCTGAGCTGCTGCAACGGGGGGTGACACAGGAATATGCAGGACTCATGTCAATTACAGCATGGTTTGGACAGGTGTTTGGACCCAGGATGTGGCTTTTGCATGCGTATTCAAGCAGTTGCAATAGCTCTGGACTATGGCTTTTGCATAGCTTCCATCCTTCTTGGAGACCATGATGGGCACACGAGTTCGGTGTCTCGTCGTGACCACGTGTCAGACACCCACGGACCTGGACCGGGTCCTTTGGACACCCTCAACTCGCCAGGTCAATGAAGCTACAGGTATACCCAAACAGTCTGGATGCCTGGAGAGATGATGTGGAGAGATGCTTCTCTACTCGGGCAATGGTGAACAGGATATAAAGTGAGCACTGCCCATTGGTCACGGTTCATGATTTACGCGAATGGTGAAAAGTAAAGGTGTAGCGGTGTAGCCACCAGGTAAATTCACGTGTGGGAAGACCAGAAGCTGGCCAGGGTTATGGATGGCAGAGAACCTGGCAAAAGGAGCACCATGTTGTAAGGTGCTGTGTGGTTTCGGATGGTGACTGGAACTGACAGTGAGAACCGTTGGAACCACCTCACCTTCTCCCACACTTCACCAGCCAGGCTACAGGCTTTTATGATAATGGAGGAGCCACGAATCACCGCCACTCGGCAGTCATGTTGACGGTGAGTATCGTGGCTGATTGGAACTGTTGAACACGTCATATGAGATGCCCTCCTTCAGAAGGGGTGCACGTCTCCTTCGCATCTGATATGGATAGCAGGTTTGTGCTTCGTCGATCACTTTATAGCACGTTGTCCATCACAGTCGCTAGGCTGGACCACTCCGCCAACACGGTCACCTCCACCTGGGCACGCCCAGGTGGTGCCCAATTTCTTCAGCGAAGCGGAGTGTCGACATCTCCGGTCACTGGTCGAGGCCGGTTGAGTCGGCCTGGCAGCCAGTGTCCATGCGGATGCAGGCCGACAGTGGAAAATGACAACGAAGGGGGGAAAAGCGCATGACATCCTCAGGGTATCCTCATACTAAAGCATGACATCCTCAGTTGGCATCCGAGAAACGCATTGGCATTGGAGACACGCATTGGCATTGGTGTTGGTTTGGAATCAGTTCGAAGTCATACTTTGTCAATCCTGATCCACCTGATACATCCATGGACCAATGGACCCTCGCAGTCCTGACAGCTTTTCTTGTGTGACAGCTTTGCCTGGCCAAGCTGGGGTCACCAACGAGAGGCATCATGGATACCATCATTGGTCAGTGATGCCCAGGGTCGGACAGAACAGGCGCCGATTCTGGTTCTGACTTTGCTTGTTCTGTGTGAAATAGTTCTTCATGTGGGTTCCAGAGGCTTCAGCATGCCGAGAAGATTTCGCTTTGTAGTCCTGACCTTCCAGCCTGTAGATCCAAGCCTGGAGCATACGATCGTGCCACGAAACACGAAACAGCTCCATGTTGGTGTTCGATACAATGAACCCACGAAAAGGTGCGCTGGGGATCGCTGCCATTCATCCGGAGAAGAGGTCCCCCGAAAGGTCCTGTCGTCCATGCATTTGAACAGCAGGACTACGAGCGAGGAAAGCTGGAGAATATGCTGGCGCAGACCAGGAGGGTCGGGTTTCAGAAAGAAAGCCAGGAGGGTGAGGTGTCACATCCATCGGCCTTTAGACAAAACCATATGACTCGTCATTGTTTGGAGGTGACAGGCCAGTGACTAGTGGGTAGATTTGGTGCTTTCAATAAGTAGGTATGGGGGAAGGTTTTGCTTCACGGACTTGTAGTTGTAAAACTATCATCCTTGTTTGATCTTGTTTGTAGAATTTTGTAGATATGTTCACTTCACAGGAGGCAAATTATCACAACATGTAGCACAGTATATCAGGTAGGATACAATAGGTCATCCACATGTATTGCAAGACTTTGACATTGCTCAGATTTGTGTCACACTCGAGAAAGGAGATCCCTTTGGAGAGCATACTTTGATTTTTGCCATGTGAGGGTGCCATGTCAAGTCAGACTCCGGGTGTCAGGGGAGTTTTTCATCCGATGAAGGCTTTGGCATGGCAAATGAATCAGGATCGCCGCACTGCAATGGATCGCCGTATTTTGTTTGTCCTTACAGATGTATCTAGGAACAAGAAGCTACTAGTAACAAGTGCATCGCTACTAGTAACAAGTGCCTTACTAGTAGTAACAAGAAGCTATTAGAAACAAGTTCATGTGCCAAAGAAGTGAGAGGGGGATGGATCATCGTCGCAGTTCGGTGCCTCCATCACGAGGACCTCCTGGTCCTGTATGATGCGATATGTACAAGCCTTGGGTGCTGTATGAGGGCCACGTCAAGGGGGTGCCAGTAGTAAGAATGCTCCTAGTAGCGATGCCAGGAGCCCCGAATGTAGCGTCCTTGCTCCTAGTAGTAAGGCCAGGAGCCCGTAGTAGCTTCTTGTTACTAGGAAACCAGCTGGAAGAAATTTATTGAACAAACATCGTTTGAAACGTCCCTTTGGTCGACGGACTCCAAACACTCATCGGCTGGTCGACTCGAATCAACTGACTCCGTTGACAAGCTGAGTTGGCCATCTGGTGCTCAATAACCTAGGCAAGTGCGAACTGGACATGATTTTAATGGAAGGAACAAGAAGCTACTAGTAACAAGTGCATCGCTACTAGTAACAAGTGCCTTACTAGTAGTAACAAGAAGCTATTAGAAACAAGTGCATCGCTACTAGTAGAGCAGAGCATCTGCAAGTGGGGCTCCATCCCCCCCGGGCCCAGACGACGGACTCGGTGCGACCCACCGACCGTGCCAGACTCGGCGGGGTTTCGAGGCGCAAGACTCGGTGGTGGAGCGTTTGGAGCACCGCTTGGTGTCCATCGGAGGAATGCCCATGGAGAAGCCGCTCGGATCTGGGAGCTGGGGGCATGGGCTGTGCCGAAAGCTTACTTGGGTGGGACCAAGGGATCAGGCTTGTTGCTCCACGTGTCTTCTGAAATTGGTGAACATGTGATAAGTGTAGGTGGTTTGTTTTGTCGACTGAGCACCATGTGCTCTCAAGCAGGTGGGTGGTCTTGCTGGGCGTCAACCACCTCTGGAGGAGTTCTTTTTCTTTCTTTTTTCTGTACCCACCAGCTCCCTTCCCCGGCACCGCGACAAACTCGCTCTGTCTGGCTGAGTTTGGAGCGGATGAACGCAGTGCGCTATGTCGGATTCCCGAGGTGTTGACGTGTGGAACCGCCGTCTTGGAACAAAGGATAGCTCGTTCTGGTGTCAATCCAACGTGTTTTGCAGACGCTTCACCGCTTCAAAACCGTTTCACCTCGTCTCAGCGTTGCCACTGAGGCCCCGGGGGAGTACTTCAGTGCACACCATGACGGAAAATTCCGACCGCTCACGGCCGGGATGCTCGGGCGTGCTCGAGAGAGTTGCCAGGAGCCCCGAACGTAGCGAACCTTTGCTCCTAGTAGTAGGGCCAGGAGCCCCGTTCGTGGCTTCTTGTTCCTTAGCCGAGGACATGAGCGACATTGGTGGTGACATTGTTGGTGTAGTACTTTGCATCCTTGTGTCCCCATTGACCAGGTGGATATCGCATCCTTGGAACGTGGCGTTTGGGCCGAGAGTCCTCGTAACCCGATGTGTCCAGGTGTTTGTCTACCTCAATGACTTGGAGGAAGAGGATGGTGCGGTCGCCCAGGAGTCTAAGACACGGGGTGATTCTTTCGTGCGAACCAGGAGTCTCAAAAGCTTCTGACTGGACTTCTCAAAAGACACTCGCCCCAAGCGTTGTTGATTTGGCCAGCCAGGCTGACCGAGTTGGGTTGAAAAAGACTCCATGATTCGCTGAAAGAGGAAAGATCGAACTCTGTCCAACAGCAATGCTTAAGAAAAGGCTTGCTGTGTCCAATCTCAGATGACATCCTTTGATTTGTTATTTTGCTGAGGTGGTTTGGTTTCCTTCTTCACATCGTGTCACAAGCAAAACAGCAAAACATACTCAGACAACGACTGGTGTGCAGATTGCAGATTTTGTTCGATGTGGGTCCGAGCTGTGAATTTGCTTGCGGCCAGATGCTGGGGACACCTACTTCCCCTTCTTGGGCTTGAGTTTTAGACCAAGGCCAGGGGAAGACAATACAGCAACAAGAGATCTTCTCAAGGCTGTCGTCACGACACGCAGCCAAAAGATAAAACGAACGACATCCAAGAGACCCTTTCAACTAGCTGCCGCATTGCTTCGCTCGATGCATGTCAAGCACACCATCCAGAAGCAAGATTCTTCCCACACCCGGGACAACACCCGTGGGTTGCCAGGCAAGGGACTGCCCTGATATGGTGTGGAACCCAGCGACGGAGAGCGACGGAGGCCCGAGACTTGGTGTCGACCCCTCCAGCGGACCGACCAAGGCCCAACTCTTGCGATGGCAGAGAGGACGATCGGGTGCTGCATGCAGGCAGATGTGAAGGTCTTTCGGGCGGTTTCCACCATGCACGAGGTTT